TATCGAGCTCTTTAAAAAAATGTTTTTTATATCTCTTATGACACCATAGGCAAAATCTTTTTACTTTTTCATAGTGCTGCCCACCGCATGAGGAACGTTTTCCATCCCAGCTGAAGCAAAATACACATAAACAAATCACCTCATTCAGCACTCAATTATCCATCTGGCAAGGCTGAAACTTTCTCCCGTTGGTTCCTGTTGTCTTTCTCTGTTAAAATAGCCTTACTTTAAGAAAGTGATTTGTTTATGGCAGGCAACGTTGGGGAATACCTAGACAGCTCATGAGATATTAGACCTGGGGTACTGAATGGGACAGGAGTCGTGACAGTGACCATAATGGCACATTTGAATCTCATTACAGTCACATATCAAACCCTCTGCATAGATTGTTTTCCAGCCTTCTATGTACTGGGTGTTCACCTTCCTGAGTTGGAGTTATAATTACCTGTCTTTTCGGCCTACACATGAAAATCTGCAACTCCCACCCAGGATGTCATGTCACTTGATGAGATATTTTTTAATTCTGTAGCCTTTAAGAAATTTAAATAGATTTTATTTTAAGTCTAAAGCCTTCCAAACATGATGTAATCCTGCATTTTTTCCAAATATGTTGCCTATCTCATAGGACTGCTTAATTTTTATAGCTATTAAGGAAGATAACCTAATGAATTCTAGGTCACCCTATTTTATTTTAATTATTAATTCTTGAATTTCATGTTTTTAAACTTTTATTTGCATTTGACATAAAATGTGTATATTATTTTATTTTTATGCCTCTAGAAATATGCATTTATAAGAATTTCATAGCTATTATGTTTAAATGTTTAAGTAATATTATCATAATACTAATTTAATCCTATGCTAGGAATTTAAAAACATTAAACATTTTTAATTATTATGAGTGCATAATAGTTGTACATACTAATGGGATGCATGTGATGTTTTGATACAGGCATACATAATATAATGATCAAATCTGGGTAATTGGAATATCCGTCACCTCGAAATTTTATCATTTCTTTGTTTTGGGAATATTCCAATTCCACTGTTTTAGATATTTTAAAATATACCGTAAATGATTGTTAAGTATAGTTGCCCTATTGTGCTACCAAACACTAGATCTTATTCCTTCCCTGTACTTGTATTTTGTACTCATTAACTATCCCTGGTTTATCCTCCCCCGCAACCTCACTGCACTTCCCAGCCTCTGCTAACCATCATTATGCCCTGTATCTCCACTAGTTCTTTCTCTAAGGTAGTTCAACCAACAGCTCTGAGATTGTACCTCAGTATTTAATGCCTTTAACCTTTAGTGCCTTAAAGTAAGGATGACATGTTTACTGAGTGTGTGTATGAACTGTGGGAAGAATTACGATGGTTAAGGCAATGTTCCAATGGAGGTGAAAAAGTGCTCCTTATCTGAGTCCTCTCATGAATTTGGGTTGTTCTGCCTGTTTTCACATCTTCTAAATGGAGGATTAAAGATTTCAAGTAAAAAGCTGAAAGTGCAACCCAAATAGCACCTGATTTGCTGAAGCCCAAATACATACAGCTTCTAAAACATACAAGAATAAGCTCACCCATGTAATTAAGGGGCTTAGCAATTTAGGATGGAACAATCCTCTTTCACTGGCTCAGAAATCGACGCAGCTTCCTTTTGCCTTTGATACCGAGTCTAAATTCATTAACGTTATTCTCGAAGCTGAGGCTACTTGAGTATCTAATCAAATCAAATAATGTCAATTGCATGTGATTCAATACACTCAACTTATGTTCACAACATAAGGCTTTTATCAATCAGGCTGACCTGTTCTCTGTTCTCCCAAAACATTTCATTTTAATTCCTATATCTATGTTGAATTAACCACCCTCTCTTCCTTCAGCCTATCAGCTTAATTCTGAAGATTCTTTATGGCCAAATTCCAAACTTTCCCTCCTACTACTTCATACTGCTCTCTTCTGTCTATAAATTCCTGCAGCACAGAGCCTAGGGAATTATTGGATCATATGCTATTTAGTCCTCTAATTATCATTTTCCATAAATGCTTCTCACTACATTCTAATTCCCTGAAGAGAACCATATTTCTTTGATCTCTTTTGTAGCACCTGAGGAATCTTTCTTAACATGTAGTATTGCATAGGGAGTCTAGGTGCAGAAGGAAGAGAGAAAGTCTAAGGAAGATATTATTAGTATGTCCTCAGATGTTGTCCGAAGACCCTGACACTGGAGAGTTAGTGACTTGTCCAAGAGCGTGTGTTAGTGGCCAAGCCCATCATCAGATGTAAGTCACCGGGCACCAGAAGGGAGGGCTCTTTCCACTGCAGCGGCTATGCTATTCCATAGCGAATGGCTCAGTTCCTTCTCAGATGGACCTGCCTTATCCTGAGGACCACCCATCTCCATACCCCCGCACCTTTTCCTGTGTCCCATTCAGAGGAAGAGATGCCAGCTTCTCTTAAAGTATCTCTGGTGTTTGATTCTGGTCAGAGATTCGAGAGAAGGAGGATCACCAGGACAGTGATGGCCAGGGCACACAAGTCTCCCAAGAATAAGACACCCTTCCCCACTTCCCACGCCTCACGATAGGTGTCTAAAGGATGATTGCAGACTAGGCTGAACCGTGGAAAAGACAAGAGCGATGCTGCTGCCCTCTAGTGGCAGAGTGTAGAAACACAACTCATAAGCAAACGCCAAGTTCACATCCTAAAAGACGCATCCTTAATCCAAAGAAGTCAGACCACAAAAACAGAGTTTGAGTTATTTTTAAAAATCTTAGGTTTTAATTTATTAGTACTTTGATCCATTATTATGGGTGAAATTGTGTTCCTCCCCCACAAAATTCATATGTTGAAGTCCTAACCCCCAGTATTTTAGAAGGTGATCTTATGTGGAAATAGGATCATTCCAGATGAAGTTGGCTGAGGCCATACTGAAGTAGGGTAGGCTCCAATTTAATATGACTTATGTCTCCATAAAAAAATAGAAATTTTCAGACACACACACACACACGCACACACACACACACACGTGGAAAACACCATATGAACATAAAGGCAGAGACTGGAGTGATGTGTCTACAAGTCAAGGAATGCCAAAGATTGGCAGCAAACCACCAGAAGCTAAGAGGGACACAGGGAAGAGGTTCCTCTCCAGCACCTTCAAAGGGAGCACAGCCCTGACAGTAGCTTGATCTGGAATTTCTGGCCTCCAGAACTGTGAGACAAATTTCTGTTGTTTAATCTGCCCGGTTTGTGATACTTTCTGATGGCAGCCTTAGCAAACTCATACGACCCCATTACTTTAACATTAGTTTTAAGCTTAATGTCTTTAGACTTCAAAATAAGGCATGCAAAATGGTACCTTGAGGGCAATATGGCAAATGCCTGGGATGAAGATATTATCTACTCCAAGTTTTATTACCTGCCATAAAATGCATTGTCTTTGTTGAGAAACTTACTGACAACTTGGTGTAGTTACCCATTTGTACTGTTTTATGGGCTCACCAGATTGGCAAGTTTCCTTAACAAGTATTTTTATCATTCTAACCTTCAGTGTTTATATTTGTAAATCATTTATTAACTAGTGATTTCTGTATTGTTGTCTATCATGTCTTCTAATGTTTTATAGGCTTCCTAACCGAGTATCCTTGAATATCACACATTATTATTAAGCTTTTGGGGATTATGGGCCTTCATATCCCGTAAAATGCATGGTGCTTAATGCAGAGTGGTCCCTGTATTAGTTCTCCAGAGAAACAGCACCAATATACACATGTGGGGTGGGGGAAGAAGAGGAGGATTTTAAGAAATTGGCACAAGTGATTGTGGAGGCTGACGAGTCCCAAACCTGTGGTACTTTCTTATAGTAGCCTTAGCAAACTAATAGAACCTTATTACTTTAACATTAGTTTAAAGCTTCATGTTTTAGAATTCAGAATAAGGCATGTCTTTGAGACAGCAGGCTGGGAAGAGTTAATGTGATAGTCCAAGCCCAAAGGAATTCCTTCTTCTTTGGAAAAGGTTAATCTTTTTTTATTAAGGTCTTCAACTGGGCTAGGCAGGATGGCTCATGCCTGTAATCCCAGCACTTTGGGAGGGCAAAGGAGAAGGACTGTCTGAGCTCAGGAATTCAAGACCAGCCTGGGCACTGTAGACAGCCTGTGTCTACAAAAAAATTAGCCAGTGCTTGTAGACAATATAGACAGCCTGTGTCTACAAAAAAGTTAGCCAGCTACTCGGGAAGCTAAGGCAAGAGGATTGCTTGAGCCTGGGAGATTGAGGCTGCAATGAGCTATGATTGTGCCACTGTACTCCAGCCTGGGTGATGGAGTGAGAACCCGCCTGGGAAAAAAAAAAGGCCTTCAACTCACTGTATAACAATATGGTTTAGATGTGTGCTCCCTTCAGGTATCATGTTGAAATGTGATCCCCAGTGTTGGAGGTGGGCCTAAAGGGAGGTATTGGATCATGGGGCAGACCCCTGGTGAATGACTTAGCACCTTCCCCTCGGTGACAGTGAGTTCTCCGAGCGTATGTGAGATCTGGTTGTTCCAGAGGGTACCACCTCTCCTGCTGTCTCTCTTGCTCTTGCTGCTTCCATGTGACATGCTGGCCTTCAGTCATGATTGTGAGCTGCCTGAGGCCCTCTCTGGAAACCGAGCAGATGTTGGCACCATATTTCTTGAACAGCTGCAGAACCACAAGCCAATTAAACTTCTTTTCTTTATCAGTTACCCAGCCTCAGATGTTCCTTTATAGCAACACAAAAATGGCCCACTACAAATGAGGCCCACCCGCATTATGGAAAGAAATTCACTTGACTCAAAGCTGACTGGCTTAAGGCCAGGCGTAGTGGTTCATGCCTGTAATCCCAGCACTTTGGGAGGCCGAGGTGGGTGGATCACATGAGGCCAGGAATTCAAAGCCAGTCCATCTCTACTAAGAAATACAAAAATTTAGTCCCAGCTACTCTGATGGCTGAGGTGTGAGAATCACATGAGCTAGAAGGTGGAGGTATCAGTGAGCTGAGATCGCTCCACTGCACTTCAGCCTGGGCGACAAAGCAAGACTCTTTCTAAAAAAAAATAAAATCAAATCAAAATTAAAAAGGTATCCTGACTTAAATGTTAAATGTTAATTTTCATCTAAAAATATCTTCATCTTCATCTCTGATTGAGGAGGACATTCAAGAACGAGGCTCCCTTTGTTTGATTGTTCTACCAGTTTTTGAGATGTTCATGTCGGCATTCAAGACTGTACAAGAGGAAAAGAGAGTGGTTGGAATTTCCAACGTGATCTCTAATTTCTAATGCGATCTGAAAATCTGGGAGTTGCAATCATCATTTCTGCCCATTTTCCAATAGCCGAAACTTAGTCATATAACCACACTTTGCTTCAAGGAAGATTTGGAAATATTGTGACTTGCTCTCAGACCATTAGGCCCCTAAAATTAATGAAGTTCTGTGTGTTTTTTTTATTTTGAAAAAATAAGAAGGAATGGATAGATGCCAAGGTATTTGATAGTCTCTTCCAAAACACTCAGGCAAATGAATAACATCCACACATTGAAAATCTTGAAGAAATGAGATAATATAAAATCATTAGGGAAAAAGTAGGGAATTTTATAAAGAAGTTGAAGCTTCAGCTCAGCATTAGGATTTTAATCCAGTTTATCAGAACTTCTGCTGCCAGGTTACTTGTAAATTAAAGAAAAGTAAGAGACAATGTTAACAAGCATTAAAAAATATTAAATAAAAATACCGTCACAAAAAAATCTGAATAATTTTTGACGAAATATCTGAATACTAGGGCCTAGCCAAGTTGACAAGTAAAATTAATTATCACAGCCTCCAGGGAATCCTGTCACCCTGAATTCATTCTTTGTTTAGCATGAGTCCAGATCGGCCTTGTGACAATTCGTTTTTACAATTTTTTTTGTTTGTTTTTAAAAATTTTTTATGGATACATAATGTCTGTGCGTCTTTATGGAGTACATATAATATTTTGACACAAGCATATAATGTGCAATGATCAAACGTAGGTAATTGGAATCTGCATCTTCTCAAACATGTATCATTTGTTTGTGTTGGAAACATTTTAAACAATTCTTCTAGCTATTTTAAAATACCCAATAAATTATTGCTAACTATAGTTGCTCTTTGCGCTACTGAGCATTAGGTCTTATTCATTCGATCAACCGTATTTTTGCACTCAGTAACTAGCTCCTCTTTGTCTTTCTTCCTCACTGCCCTTCCTACCCTCTGGTAACCACCATTCTACCCTCTATGCCCATGAGATCAGTTTTTTTTAGCTTGTACATGAGTGAGAACACGTGACACTTGTCTTTCTGCGCCTAATTGATTTTACTTAACATAATGTCTGCCAGTCTCATCCACGTTGCTGCAAATGACAGGATTTCATTTTTTTGTCTTAAGGATGCTGAATGGTTTAATTAAGAGTCACTGTTATTTTCTTTTAATTGATTTATTGATTTCAATTGTGATATAGATCACTAGTTTTCTATTAGCTTTTTAAATATTATGGTCCTATGGCTTTATAAAGCAATGCTATTAAGCTAATATTCTACAACCTAAAGGGGAATTTGTTTATTGTGGCTTTTGATGTTTCTGGAAACATTAATTTTGGTATAATGATTCTTTCATTTCTTTTTTTTAAATAACTTTTCCATAGGTTATTGGGGGTACAGCTGGTATTTGCCTACATGAGTAGGTTCTTTAGTGATGATTCGTGAGATTTTGGTGCACCCATCACCTGAACAGTGGACGCTGCACCCTATTTGTAGTCTTTTATCCCTTGCCCACCTCCCACCCTTCCAAGTCCCCAAAGTCCATCGTACGATTCTTATACCTTTGTGTCCTCATAGCTTAGCTCCCACATATCACTGAGAACATACAAGGTTTGGTTTTCCATTCCTGAGTTACTTCATTTAATAGTCTCCAATTCCATCGAGGTCGCTGCAGAGGCTGTTAATTCATTCCTTTTTATGCTGAGTAAATAGTCCGTCATATGTATCTACACCACAGTTTCTCTATCCACTTGTTGATTGATGGGCATTTGGGTTGGTTTCAGGATTTTGCAATTGCCAATTGTGCTGCTATCAACATGTGTGTGAGTATATTTTTCATATATGACTTTTGTTCTTCTGGTTAGATACGCAGTAGTGGGATTGCTGGATCAAATGGTAGTTCACTTTTAGTTCTTTAAGGCATCTCCACAGTTTTCCATAGTGGCTACACTAGTTTACATTCCCACCAGCAGTGTGGAAGTGTTCCCTCATCACTGCATCCACAGTCAACATCTACTGTTTTTTGATTTTTTAAATTATGGCCATTCTTGTAGGAGTAAGGTGGTATCACATTGTGGTTTTGATTTGCATTTCCCTGATCATTAGTGATGTTGAGCATTTTGTCATATGTTTGTTGGCCATTTGTTACATCTTCTTTCGAGAATTGTCTATTCCCACTTTTTGATTGGATTGTTTGTTTTTTTCTTACTGATTCGTTTGAGTTTGTTGTAGATTCTGGATATTACTCCTTTGTCAGATGTATGCATTGTCAAGATTTTCTCCCACTCTGTGGGTTGTGTTTACTCTTCTGACTGTTCCTTTTGCCATGCAAAAGCTCTTTAATTAAATTCCAGCGATTTACCTTCGTTTTTATTGCATTTGCTTTTGGGCTCTTGATCAGGAAATCCTTGCCTAAGCCAATATCTAGAAGGGTTTTTCCAATGTTATTTTCTAGAATTTTTATGGTTTCAGGTCTTAGTTTTAAGTTCTTTATCCATCTTGAGTTGATTTTTGCATAAGGGGATAGATGAGGATCCGGTTTCATTCTCCTACATGTGGCTAGCCAATTATCACAGCACCATTTATTGGAAAGGGTGTCCTTTTTTCACTTTATGTTTTTGTTTGTCAAAGATCACTTGGCTGTAAGTATTTGGGTTTTTTCTGGCTTCTCTATTCTGTTCCATTGATCTATGTGCTTATTTTTATACCAGTACCATACTGTTTTCGTGACTATGGCCTTATAGTTTGAAATCAGATAGTGTGATGCCTCCAGATTGGTTCCTTTTGCTTAGTCTTTTTTGATTCCATATGAATTTTAGAATTGTTTTTTCTAAATCTGTAAAACCTGATGATGATATTTTGATGGGGATTATGTTGAATTTGTAGATTGCTTTTGGCAGTATGGTCATTTTCACAATATTGATTCTACCCATCCATGAACATGGGATGTGTCTTCATTTGTTTGTGTCATCTGTAATTTCTTTCAGCAGTGTTTTGTAGTTTTCCTCATAGAGGTCTTTTGTCTCCTTGGTTAGATATAATCCTAATTTTTTTTTTTGCAGCTATTGTAAAAGAGGTTGAGTTCTTGATTTGATTCTCTGCTTGGTTACTGTTAGTGTATAGAAGACCTACTGATTTGTGTACATTAATCTTATATCTGGAAACATTGCTGAATCAGTTTATGAGGTCTAGGAGCTTTCTGGAGGAGTCTTTAGGGTTTTTGAGGTAAATGATCACGTTGCCAGCAAACAGGGACAGTTTGACTTCCTCTTTGCTGTTTTGTATGCCCTTTATTTCTTTCTCTCATCTGATTGCTCTGGCTGGAACTTCCAGTACTATTTTGAAGAGGAGTGGTGAGAGTGGACATTCTTGTCTTGATCCAGTTCTCAGAGAGAATGCTTTCAACTTGTTCCCATTTAGTGTTATGTCGGCTTTGGGTTTGTCATAGATGGCTTTTATTGTATTGAGGTATGTCCCTTGTATGCTGATTTGGCTGAGAGTTTTAATCATAAAACGATGCTGGATTTTGTCAAATGCTTTTTCTGCATCTATTGAGATGATCATGTGATTTTTGTTTTTAATTCTATTTACGTAGTTTATCACATTCATTGACTTGGCATATGTTAAACCAATCCTGCATCTCTGGAATGAAACCCAGTTGATCAATGTGGATTATTTTTCTTTTTGATGTGCTGTTGGATTTCGTTAGCTAGTTAGTATTTTATTAAGGATTTTAGCATCTATGTGTCAGGGATATTGGTGTGCATTTTTGTCTTTTGGTTTGTCCTTTCCCAGTTTTGGTATTTGGGTGAGACTGGCTTCATAGAATGAATTAGGGAGGCTCCCCTGTTTCTCTATTTTGTGGAATAGTGTCAAAAGAATTGATATCTGTTCTTCTTTGAATGTCTGTAGAATTCCGCTGTGAATCTGTCTGGTCCTGGACTTTTTTTGTTGGTAATTTTAAAATTACTATTTCAATCTCACTCCTTGTTATTGGTTTTTCAGGGTTTTTGACTAATTCTTCCAATTTAAGCTAGGAGAGTTGTATTTTTCCAATAATTTACCCATCTCTTCTAAATTTTCTAGTTTATGTGCATAAAGGTGTTCATAGCAGCCTTGAGTGATCTTTTGTATTTCAGTGGTGTCAGTTGTAATAACTCCCATTTGGTTTCTTAATGAGGTTATTTGGATTCTCTCTCTTCTTTTCTTGGTTAATCTTGCTAATGGTCTATCAATTTCATTTATCTTTTCAGACAACAAGCTTTTTCTTTCATTTATCTTTCGTGTGTGTGTGTGTGTGTTTTAATTTCAATTTTATTTGGTTCTGCTCTGGTCTTGGTTATTTCCTTTCTTCTGCTGGGTTTGGGTTTGGTTTGTTCTTGCTTCTCTGGTTCCTTGAGGTGTGATCTTAGAATGTCAGTTTGTGCTCTTTCAGTCTTTTTCATGTAGGCATTTAGGGCTATGAACTTCCCTCTTAGCACTGTCTTTGCATCCCAGAGGTTTTGATAGGTTGTGCCATTATTGTTGTTCAGTTGGAATAATTTTTAATTTTCTCCTTATTTTGTTTTTGACTCAATGATCATCAGGAGTCGGTTATTTAATTTGCATGGTTTTGAAGGTTCCTTTTGGAGTTGATTTCCAGTTTTATTGCACTGGGGTCTGAGAGAGTGCTTGATATAATTTCAATTTTCTTAAATTTATTGAGACTCATTTTATGGCCAATTATATGGTCTGTCTTGGACAAAGTTCCATGCACTGTTGAATAGAAGGTGTATTCTG